TTCCTCCACCACTCTTTCGGGCGGATTGGAGAGGAGACGACAGGGGGCGGAAGCTGAGAAAGAAAAAAAAATCCAATCGATAAACAGTGCAAGAAATCGAACGTTATCATTTTTTGTCTTCGCTTTGTCTTTCCTTATGTCTTTCGCTCGAGGACAAAACTAATGGGTAAAGAACGAGAGAAACGGTAAGAAGGAAATTTTGGATTTTTTTTTTTCAATGGATGGACTGCGCACGAGGGACGAGCAAAGGGAATGAAAGACAAAAAGCGAAAGAACAAGGAAAACGATCGACAGTGATTAGAGCTTACGAAAAAAAAAAAAGGAAAAAAAATACAATCTACACTTCGCTCTCTCGTCTTTCTTACTTTTCTTTTTTTCTTCTGCTTGCCCTTTTGGTTTTTTTCTTTTCTTTTATTTCGCGCTGGACATCGGAGTGTATGCAATAATTACGTCTCTACCCGGTACACCGTGACAACAGGCGCCCGGGTCCGCGATCAGAGTGGTCCGTCACTCAAAAAACAAAGACAATGAAATATACCCCACTGGACATCGAAACGAGTATTTGAAAAAAAAAAAAAAAAAAAAAGAAAAAGAAAAAGGGGACAAAAACAAACCCCCAATATGCATCACTGAATTCATCATTCAAATTAAAGTAGCAAATCATCAATCATCGAAGACACAAAAATAGTAGTAGTAGTAGTAGTAGAGTAGTAACGGTTATATAGTAGAAGAAAGTTTTTTTTTATAGTAGAAAATAGTAGCGATTAAAGTAAACTAAAGTAGACAACAAAAAAAAATGAATTAATCATGGTGAAAATATCGTAAATGCAGAACCGCCTGTCTTCGGCTTACGAGTTTACGTTTATTCTTTTTGATCTCGACTGTACCTCGCCCACAGCGATTTTTCGCTTGAAATTCTTGAACGGATTTATCGTGCCCAATTTTAGGCTCAAAGAGGCTCGGAAGATTGATCGAATCCATATACCGACCGTTTTCGTGGGACTTAAAACGCATTAAGGACCAAACTCGCTCGCCGCAGACGAAAACAGTCCCGAAGCAAAACAATAGCAAGTGCGAAGCAAATGACGCGCGGAGGTTGTCTCCGTGCGCGTCGCGTCTTCTCTATATATCAAATAAGCATTCATTATTATGTATTCATAAATGATTAAGTGCGAGTCAGCGTCGTGCTGACCCGATTTCGTATGCATGCAACCATCATTATGTTTATATTTATTAATTAGCGGGCAGTAGCGTCGTGCTTGCGATACCCGCGTCGCCTTTTCATCTGTTTGAGACATTTCATTCATTTTCACTTTTTAAACGCACCGACAATGTGCGCGCGCACGCGGGCATAACTACGCGCATGCGCGTCGCGCATGTTCGTATTAAAATGTCGTACATCTTTAAAAAAAAAAAAAAAAAAAAGAATTATAAAACGTGATTAACGCTTCTTTCGGTTTTATCGGCCGTAGTTATCTTTTTCATTGGATATTTTTTTTTCTTTTTCTTCGATTGCCCATGTCTATTCAATCGTGAGCACAAAAACAGAATCATATCGTATTACAATGATGACACTTAATTGTCACGTGACGCTCAGGCGCTTCTGACACTTTTTTTTTTTTTTTTTAATAAGCGAAATAAAGAATGTTTATTCTTTTATTGTTATTATTATCGTTACTCTCTTCGTGTAAAATTCTTCCTTTTTAGACTTTTCTTCTTTTTTTTTTTTCACAGTGCTAGTACTGATTTCACGGTACGTTCACGGCTTTTATCATTTAGTTTTCGGTCTGGCTCGTTCTAAATTTTACGGCTCTTGTACCTTCTACGTTTCTATACTAATTCATATCGTGTACGCGCGATTCTTTGTGTGTACTTGAATGTTCCTCCTCGCAAGCGGTTGGTATTTGCTGTTCTCTCTCTTTCTCTCTTGAAATGGCTCTTATCCTTTCTTATTGTTTTCATCGTAGTTAATTTACACTTACGCAATCCTCCCGTGCTATTTCAAATGGCGATTATATAATTTTATTTGAACTCTATTTTTTATTTTCGAAAAAAAAAAAAATCGTACATTTTTGAGGTAGTAGTATGCACTCAAACTTTTATCCTTTTCCCTTATCTTATCATCCACATTAATTAAGCATCCCTCCTTCGATAATCTTTTACTCGCCTCGATTCTTCACTGTCTCCCTCTTACAGCATTGTTCCCTCTATTTATATTATTCTGACAAATTTATCTGAACCTCCCATTAATTTTCGTTTCACCCATCGATCGCTATCAGAAAGACCTCCGGCATCTTTTAACGTCAATATTAGCCTAACAGACTTCAAGTCGCACGAATTATCCCCAATCGCATGGACCAGTTACACCTGGACAACATTAAAAGGGATTTCAAGAAAAAAAAAAAAAAATTTATCATCACGAGAAATTCGCAAATATGAATTTTCATTTTTCAAAACTATTACCAAAACACGTATATCTCGAAACCGGAAGTTACGAAGGGATCCAACAAAAATGACTTGAGAAAAGAAAAAAAAAATCATTTCAAAAAGAAATATCTAAAATTCATAAGTGCGAATGAACACGTTGAAAATGTCATCTGCCTGACGTTTCTGAACCACCCGTTAGAACTCTTACAAGCGAATGACAAATTGGCGACAGCCAGTGGCTTCTCCAAATTCTCTCTGACATGTGAAACAAAAACAAATCGTAAGGGAACACGGAGTATCGTTATATAACTATTTTCCTGTTCGCTACATATATATTATATATATGTATATATATATATATATACACAAAAAGGATTGTAAGATTGCATGTACATGGTGGGGCAATTAGGGGGGTTTGGACTATCAGGTATAACGAGGATTTTCAGTTTAGAATATTTAAGGGC